ACGTTTTCAAAACAGCCGACAATCTTTCTGAATGCGTTCTTTTCTCTCTCACTTATTTTTGCATCAAGATGAACGCAATAATAATTATGAGGCCTATATATGGCGCGTAGTAATCTTTCAGATTGATCCATATCTCTGTAAGTCATGATTGAAAATGCAAGCGGGAAGTCTAGTTCCATCTGCGATAAAGGATGTTCAATGTATCCCCTGGATTCTCTAAACGCTTCACAGTTCTCAGTTTTTCCTACAAAATCTTCAGGACTATCTCTCTCTCTTGTATCTTGTGTATAAACCATTGCACGTTTTGCTTTTGAAATTTCATTTCGATTATTGAGAACTATTTTCTTGCAGTCAACATCAGCTACGTTTCTCCGAGGTCTATAATTAGCATGGTACACCTGCTTCCGGTAAGAAATAGAATCTTCTAATGTGATACCATGATTAAAATTCCATTTGAGGGCTTTGCTGTTAACAAGCGATTTATCGAAGAGCCATTGATTGCTGTCTTCAACGTACTTAAGCTGGTTTCCTACATCTCTTATGTATTTCAGTATATTTTGGATAAATATGAATGTCGCAATCAAGGTTACGAGAAACAAATACAGTTTGTTCCTTTGGAAACGTCGCATTTTAGTCACGTTGACGATAATAAAATGAAACTACATTTGAAACTAGATGTGCATTCAATAAAACGTCAATTAAATGGACTCCACGAGGTAAAAAAAACTAAAAAAGTTCTTACATAAATCAACTGGTTTACTTCAAGCAAAAAAGATATACAAAAGATAATTAAGATATATACTCAGAATTAAATTTAAAAAAATGTATTTTTATGTTATTCTTAGCCAAAGTTAGATAAAAAGTGAAAAGCGGTGCAACGCTCTTCAATTTTGGATCATTTTTCACTATAAGAATAATTATTCTGGAAAAGCAGAGTGAGTGAATGATCTGATATTTTGCAGTCTAGTTATATATCTAATGGAACATTAATCTCAAAAAAACTATGTTCAGTCCCATCATGTAAAAGAAAAAAACCTCAGTGGAGTCCCTTTAAAAAATATTTAAGAAACGACCTGCAAGAAAATCCCCAAATGCCATGCAAGTATCTAACAGTACAACAAAATACCTCCAGATCTTTGTCATTAAGAAAAACAACAGTTACTTATCACACACAAAAAAGTTATCCAATTTCACTTTCACACCACCCGAAAACATATATGTATGTTTATTTCAAATATATTCCGTATTTTCATTGACTGTTAACTTTGAATGTTTAAATATAGGGCTATTCAAATAAAAGGTGAGAGAAGGAATCTATCCATTGCTTTTCAAAATTGACTCTTAATTCAACATATTTTTTAATGATAGCATTTTTTTTTCAAACCGACAAAGACTCTTTGATATTTACTTTTTTTCTCATGTTACAAAAATTATTTTACACTATAATTACGACCTTATAAAATCATGGATATATACTCTATTAAAGAAAAGAAATTCCTATCAAACGACCTTCGGATAACCATACTTTTTGTGTTTATTTGTTTAATATGTATGCAAGGTATGTGGTTTACCGCCGCATTGAACGTAAATCGTAAATAATTAGCAGACAGTACTACAGTGTGTACTTTTTGTTAACATTCAATGGGGACACTGTTACATATTTTTTCAATGCATAACTTTAGAAGTAGGAGTTGAAACCCTTAAAGGCCCATGATGTCTTTTTTTGTCAAAACTTTTTATTTCATTTTTGTTTGGTATCTTGTTTCAGTTATCAAAAATACAATGTATTCATTTGCCATATGGATATTTTTTAAACTTATTTTGTTATGTTGGCAATTGGTATAATTATAGAAAAATAATATGAGCCGCGTCACGACAAAACCAACATACTGGGTTTGCGACCAGCATGGATCCAGATCAATTTCACCATCATCATCAATTTCATCATCATCATCATCATCAACAACATCATCATCAAAACATACTCATATATACAGATTTAGTGAAAGTTTTCAATGTAAAAAAATTGAACCAACTTTTAATACTTCTAATACATTTTCAGTGAGTGGTCTAAAGGTATGATCTTATAAATACAAGTTCAAAGAAGCCAAAAGTCTGCGTCCGTACCGGCCGTCGCAGAGTGAAGACCTCATATTTAAGTCACATGGTAAAATGATTCGAGGTTATCCTAATGCTAGAACAATGATTCGAAGATCGTTATTGAAATATCAATAAATGACAACGTGTTACACGTATAAATCTAAAAAAAAAATTTCTACGAAGTTTCAAAGATCGTATCTAGGGTATTGATCAGTGGAACAGCTTTAACCACAGCACATTTCAATATTCACGCAAGTTATAAGGAAAGGAATGGTTATGGATACAGCAATATACAGGTAAAAATATTTATTTGTTTATATGAAATGTTTTTTTTTTTATATTTATATGGACTTAGACGAAGCTTTACGTCCGCCCGCTAAACTCAAAAGGGAAAGCACCGTTTTAGTAATGCAATTTAAGATCTGCATTACATAATGACATAGTTATACCAAAACACCGCACAGACTGTGGTAAAAAGACTTTGTGTTACAATGGTGCAAATATTTGGAATAAAATATTCTTTGATATTCGTTCTTCTTATTCTCCGATATCTTTTAAAATGCAGTGTTTATTTGTAAATTATGTGTAAAAAGGAAATTGAATGAATGTTATTTTAATATTTTATTTATTTATTTATTTATTGTTTATTAGACATGTAAAACATACATATATATAATTAAAATTACACAATACAATTAAACATTAAAGAACATGTATAGCCATTCTAAAATAGAATTAGAGGAAACTGGGTTTTTTACTTTTAAGGGTGACAACTCTCCAGACTATAAAACAGGAGTATTTTATGCAATGCAGATTTGTCTCCCTTAGCTACACACTTTTCTTACACAACATGATACATTTGTATTTCTCTTTTATATACATATGATTCAGGTAAGATCACTAAAATTATCCTTGCTAATCCTATCGAAAATTCAAATAAAATGTAAAAGGATTTAAATATAATAATATGCCAAAATGTTCCACAGTTTAAATCATGGATGTAAAACAATGGTGTGTGATTGATCAAATTAACAAGGAAACCTTAGGCATTGTACTTTAACATTACATATAATATTAAAATAACATACTACAGGGGTTTTAAAGACACTAGGACATTATATCACATATGCAGTGTTTTTGTTACGGTTACTAATGATATAAAACAAGTTATCTTTTATTTAGGATGTTAAAGCAAGTTTTGGCCCTTACTTTTGCTATGTCTGAATTAAATAAAATGTACCCAACCTTATGAATATCTGTTGATTTATCAAAACCATTACAAAGTCTGTTTACCGACCTAATTGATGGTTATAGCCTATACGTAGAGAAATTTCTCTGTGAAAAAAATGATATCGGACATTGAGTTTAATGGTCATTTGTCCAGCATGTAACCACTTATTAAGTTCTAGACCATGTTGGGTAAGTAGTCAGTCGGTCACTCGTGGGGTTAATTGGTTGTAATTACCACAGATGGCAGTATCAGTGTTTGGACACCCCTATCTGCCCCTGGACCCCTACTACAACCCTAAAAAATAATTCAATTTGGCTCGTCCAATCACATCGCGTATTTCAACACAGGTATCAGACTGCAAAATGGCAGCGACAATTCAAAAAATAGCGTGAGACAGAAAAAAATCGGAATGATATTGATATTCGTTGGACTTGAATTAATTAAGTTGTGGAATTCAAGTTCTTTTTATTGATGTTAATGAATGATGCAGCGAAATCCCGCCGGAATGCGCCTCAGTCGCCGAAAAGACGATTTCCCGTGTTCCACATTGTTTGGCTAACATATAGTAGGCTTTTCACCTTTCTGTAACTATAATTTTGAGATATGACCAAAACATGTGTTAAAAAGCATAAAACAACAGAAATAACAATTAAGTGTAATGTTTATTTGATTGGGTTTTATGTCACACCGACACAGTATAGGTCATATGGCGACGTTCCAGCTTAAATGGTGGAGGAAGACCATATGTGCATTTTTTTTCAGGCACGAAGAAGTACCTGAGTGGAACCCCCAACGTTCCGTAAACTAGCTGGATAGCTTTCTCACATGAACAAATCCAAAGTCCCAAACGCATAGCGGTGAGGGGCAAGTACTTTGATGTCAACGACCTTAACCACTCAAAATTTGTGAAAAGCTCGACCATGATGGGCTGTTTGAAAGGTATCGACAAGGTAATAACCTATTGGTAGTAGTCAGATCCTAATGCGTAGCTGTAATTAGGAGCTGATTTTAATCAGATTGGTGTTTAATCAATCAGGCACAAAATATTATGACAACACATGTGTTCTAGTACTTGCCATATGTTATTGATTTAAATAAAAATCGAACTGACTTTAAGATATGAAACATATTTGTAAACATAAACGATCACTATCGGAACCATGTTTTGATTTCGTTCTAATGCCGACTTAATCCTTTTTGGCATGGTTCTAGCTTGAAGAGGAAAGGATTTTTATATGAAATTTTGGACTATTTGTCTGATTGCTTTTTTAGAACAGTATGTTTTAACACTGTATACTTTTTCATTATACGTTTATCTAATTGAAACTTGCATATAAATTACTTATAACTTATTCATATTATATTTGTGAAGTGCATCTATTTTAAAAGATATTTTGTTGATCTTTGAGTTAATTGATAGGGGTATTCTATTCTGCGTGATTCTTTAACTAGTAGTCTTTTTACCTTTAATTTACAGACGACGACTACACTTTTAGGCATGGATGAAGAAGATAATGACATCACATCTTAATGACGTCAATATGGGGATTCTCGGATACAAAAGTATTTTGAAGTCGGTTATAAGATGTCAGATTCATCATTTGGTATGTATAAGTTTCATTCACTTCTTTAAAATAAGCAAAGAATTATTTAGTTTTTTTTTTGGTGTCAATAGTAAAGTAATCTGCAATAATCTCCCGAACATATGAAACCTTTAACAAAATGGAGAAAAACGGAATCCCTTAAGAAATCCTTTAACGAAAACATTGGAAATGTTGAAGGCTCGGTCTGATTGAGCCTGTTTATGAATGGTACTGAAAAATGCAAGCTACCGACCACACAACGCACACTACCACCGGCTTATGCAGAATTCAACTATATAAAAAACGAGTATTAAAGTTAATTTTTCGGCCTGAGCTTTTGTCAAGTTGATGATGACGCTAAAATATTGTTAAGCAATATATTTTAATAATTCAGGTAGAGCAATTGGCAGCAAACACTGACGACGAATCGATATTTCTGACAGCGAGCGTGTCTGATGGCACCCTCAGCCATCTTGGTTCTGAAACTGGTAAAGATTTTCTGAAGAATCACGAGGATATAAAACTACAATTTCTTGGATTTTGTTTGCAAAGTAAGTAAGATTATTTTCAGATATGGATAGATCTTGTTTGTGTTATTGAAAAAAAAAACAACTTCTACCAAAGATGAACATGTACGGAAACAAAAACTAGGCATAGATAAACATATGCCAATTTAACTCACTTATACACAAAACCTTAACATAAAATAAAAATAACTATTTTGATCTCTCTCTCGCATGTTTGTTTTTTTCATTTTAAATTGTTAGATATCTCAAATATTGCTGACATAAGCCTGGACACCTAACGACTACATTTTTATTCAAGAAAATATGCCATCACATTTTGTTTCAGATCACTATGAAAAGAAACTTGAATTACAACGTCAAGAAAATGAATCTTTTTGTCAAGAAACATCCTTTCCAAATAATGGTTTAGATGAGAACGAAATATACACAGCAACTAAGTGTTACATACCAACAGGACTGAACATAATTGATAAAGTAACACCAAATTCATCATCTTTAAAATCACGGACATCATCGCCTCATATTAGATTTGAACCTTATGTATTCCAAAAACATTCGGGAAGAAAACAATTCAACAACTATCAAGGGGAGGTAAGAAACCACGTCTTTGGAAAGTCTGCATTTAATATTCCTTCAACTAGTTGGTCTAATGATGGAGATTTCAATGATCAAGAGTCTAGCAGTGACACATTTGAGACACATGCCAATTTCCATGTGTCTAAAGTAAAGCCAAATGTTCCACCGTCGATTAAAACAGATCAATGTAATTCAATAACTTCAAACAATTTACCCGTATCAAATCTCAATGACTTCGGCCATCCTTTAAAAGGAAAGGTAGAACATTCTGAAGAAAAAACAAATGTTAACTCAAGTGACAATGATATAAATTCAGAACGTGAAAATAAAAACGACACAAATAAGTATACGCACACTAAAGAATGGCAAAATTTTGTATTTACATCAAGTATAAAGACAAAAGAACCTATGATCAAAGATCACAACGAAAAGACGGAATCATCAAATATCAAAAGTAGTAAATCGAGACCCGACATGCAAGAAGTAATTGAAAAGTTACATTTGCAAAACTCTGTCGAAAATATCCAAAATAAATCAAATATACATAAGAGAGGAAATAAGAGTTCGATGACGAATTCGAATATCCATAGAAGAAGCACAAGTTTGGATTCTAAAGAAGACAGTAAAGGGTCATATGAACTGACCAAATTAAAAAATGCTACAGACGAACACAAAACTTCATCTTATACGTCCAAGCTGCGAAGTTCTAGATCCCTTTTAAGAAAACAAGAGGTAGATAAGGCTCTGAAGCTTGCCAAAGCAAGACTATCATTGAAAAAAGGAAGCATTGATCAAACAATTAGTTTAGGTGAGTCTCCAGTCGACACTTCTTACTCTGAAACTGACGAAGCTGAATCAGAAGGAAATCCTGAGAACAATATCGAAGATAAGAAAACAACTAATCAAGCATGGATTAAAGATATACTTTTGAAAAAATATATTAATGTACCGTCTGGACATGGAATGGTGTATAGTGAAAAGACGCTAAAGACATCACTTAGTTCACATGAATGTAATTCAGAATCAGAACCTGAAATTGTTGCAATAGAACCAGGCAGTGTTTTTGTATTCAAAAACAGTTTTGACCAAATGAAACAATCAGATAACGTGAGGCAGAACAAAGAGAAAGTGCTTGTTAAACATACAAAAAGTAAGTATAGACCTTTTTTATGATACAAAGCGTATGAATTTGTTCTTACTTTATTAAAACTATTAACTTTTTTTTTGAGAGTGTGCTTATAAGCTTATAGTCATCTAAACAATTGAACTAAAAGGTTTTAACCATTGGCTTGCTGGCGACAACTGATTCTACCAGCCAGCCCAGCCGCGCCAATTGATCGATATGTATACTGTTTGTTATTCAGTCAGTCCTTATTTTGAAAAATTTCCTTCACACAATGAACGGTTTTGTCCATTGAAGTGTTCCTGTTGTGATAGGGCTCATTACATTGAAACCCAAATATTGCGTTCATATAATGTTGTTAATGTTTTTTTGCACTTTTTAGAGACATGTAATGAAAAAGCAGCAAAGTCCTCAAGTGGTTGCGACGAGTTTACTCTCCAAATTACTTCTTCTAGAGATGGCAAGGATCGCAACATAAGATTATGTCCTGAAAAGTCATGTATTTCAAAGTTGTATTCAAATGGACCGTTTGAGGCTACAGAAAAACAACTTTGTGCTACAATCAATATACAGTCACAAGGAGGCAAGATCGATGAGCCTCAAGAAGGCAAGATCGATGAGCCAGAAAAAAATAAATTCGATAAATTTAAGAAAAATAAATCAGCACCTTGCTTTCCTGATGTAACAAATAGCAAGATAGAGGTTATAAAGAATAAAAGAAGAAGGTACCTTCTAAAGAAGAAGGCATCAGGTAATGCTGAATTTACGTCGAACGGAAGGAAAAAGGAACACAAGCAACGGAAAAGTAAGCAACATAAATCAGTAAAACATACCATTTTATAGATTATGATCAAATTGTTACTTAAATATTTAAAGAAGATTTGCTTTAGGTAAAATGTACATTTATCAAATTTATTAAATGAAAGTTACGAAAAGAATTTAACAAATTGAAAAGAATTTTAATCTTCCTAAATTTACTTCTTTTGTCATCAACTCTTTTATACCTATATAAATGTTTAATGAAAATTCTAAATGCAAGGGTAAAAGAAACGATAGTTTACAGTAAACGTATTTTTAACATGACTTGCAGGAAATACCTCTAGAAAACGGCGAATCAGCGAAAAATACAAGAATGACATGGACGATGAAGATAGAGAAGTGTCAAGGTCACGATGTTGCACCGATAATCAAGCTGAGACCAGTTTTGGAGATTCCGATATAAGACGTAGTGGTAATCTCATTCTCCCTCCAATATTCACTAAACTCTCACTTGATAATGAAAGGAACTCAATAAAAGATGTAGTAAACTATAATAATTCAACTAAGTCAAAGTCAGGTATTCTGATGAAAAAGATTCATTTTCAGCAAGATGAGATGTCTGATGAAGACCAAAGGTACGACTCTATTGCACAAGCAAAGGTAATAAATGGGTTGAAACAAATGCGTGATCCGACAAAAGAACCCACACATGCTGATCATCTAAGGGAAAAACAAGTTTTAAATGATGGACAAAATCATAGTTCATGTACAGAAATTGATATGGAATGTGAGTATACTAAGGCACAAAAAGTAGAGACATTGGAACTGAAAGAGAATAATGGTACTATGGGTGATAATGCCAATAATATGCCAATAATGAGTAATACTCAATATCAATCAAATTGCGCACAAACATATACAAAAGAACGCAAAGGAAAAGATGATCATGATGATGAATCAATCAAAAGCTTGAGTGTTAAAAAGAATGCCTACACGGATGAAAATAAAGATTATGCATGTATCACATCTCGCCACACCCACAAAAAGAAATCATATGCAGTAAATATATTTGAAACTTTTGGCAAACCGTTTGAAAATACTACATTCCCTGTTCAACCAATGTGTATTGAAAATCAAATAATGGATACAAATAAGTGCAATGAGAGCAAAACTGGCTTTGACAATGGTGAATCGAAGATGGATACTGGACAGTTTGGAGCTTCATCTGCTCTTAAAAACCAACTGGCTATAAATAATTCCAACATTGATGCACTTAAAAGTGACAAAAGCAGCTCCGATAAAATAACAAATCAAAATAAAGAATCATTTGAAGAAGAATATCACAATGATAAAGTTCAATCAGGAAAGCATGGTACCGAGGAATCATGTAGTCAATATGATCTAGTCAAGAACTTATATGACATAGAATATGTGTCCAAAACCAAATCTATTTCAGTTACATTACCATCATTGACTGAAACAATATCATCAGTAACATCTTCATTATCATCAGCATCGAACTTTTCCCTACTTATGAAGACACCATCCTTAGTCACTGTCCCAAAGTCGACATCAAATATATCACCAACATTGTTAACATCACAAAGTTTGTCATCACCCAACGCATCATTACCATGCTATTCTAAATCAGACTCATCATCTGTTTCAGGAGAGGAATCAGAAATAGAACAAACGGTTAATTATAATGGTGAGAAAATGTAGAATAAAGTCACGTCTGTAAAGGATTAATGTAATACATTTTTTAAAATGTAGCTGACACAAGAACTCCTTCAAGAATATAATACCAAATTAGTTTGATACACCTTATTTTTATGCATTTTAGTATATTTAATTATCGGTTGCAATTGCAGAAATTGCTATAGAATATTTTTTCATGTAGCGTCCCATTTTTGAAATGACAATTTGCGTCAAACAGAACATTTCAATATTTTTTCTCAATAAGTTTATCGATATATTGTCCATATTATTTAAATATATGAAGCACTGGAAAAGTGAAAATGGTTTGAAAGATTTTCTTAAAATCAACCATAATAAAACATAATGTAAGACAAGAAGATAAAAATGTGATTTATAAATATAAACAGAAACTCCTTGATAAAGAGAGGTTTATCCCCTCGAAACTTTGGAGGTATAAACTTCGAGACTGCAACATTTTCAATTTTGGCGTGTTGGACTTTCTTTAGGGATTCTGTTTTTGTCTATATTATTTTGATAATTATTATTTACATGTTTCCAGAATGATTTTAACATTTTAATGATCGCTCTTTTTCAGATATTGAAAACGTTTCTAATCACACTTTAGAGTCTTTTGGAAAAGAGAGTCAAAGCGAAATAGATTTAAACACTACAAAAATTGATTCAAACATGGAACGACAAAGAACAGATTATGACAAAATGAATGACGTGATTATCGTCAAAAATAAAGATGAACATCAGATAGAAACGTTAAATTCGCATTTTCTCGACAGTGAGTATTTATCTTGAGCTTTGCATGTAAACGAGAATGATATTGAATTCGTATAATATCATTTTCTAATCCATATAAGAAAGTATCGCAATAGTTTAACATATGTTTTACTTTACTTTTATTTTAGGTCTTCATACAAACTACACATGTGATACATGCGACAGGACATTTCAATGTAAATCAACATTATCAGACCACATGACCATTCATACTGGGCAAATAATACTGCATAAAAAGGATGAACATGAAATTGATTTTATATCAGAAGGAAGTGAGAATATGAATCCAAGAGATATTGAAGTGCAAGAAGCTCATAAAGAAATAAGAAAGCAAGAAGAAGAAGAAAAACTCTCTATTTTCGAAAACCTTTGCCAAGGTAAAGGCTTTGATAAAATGCATTTAAATATTTCTGCTCCGGTAGGGAAAAATAACCCAAAGAAAAGGAAACGCGTTACGAGAAAATATGTAATGGAGAATCGGTCAATATTCCACTCGAAAAGACCTAGGCGATTTTCTTGTTTGTTTTGTGGCAAAAAATTTTGTATGGAAGCAAGTATGGAAAAACACATCAGATGGGATCATTTCACAGAAATACACTCCGCGTGCTGCGTGTGTGGTGCCAATGTCACAACAACAAATCCAAACATAAACATTTCTGGAATAAGAGGGAGTTTAAATGGCAATATATCAAAAAGGAATGATGGTGATTGTACTTTTGGACCTAAAGCAAGCGATTTTCATTTGAACGATGGAAATGTTCACACAAAGAAAGAAGCTATGTGTGAGAGGTGTAAGGAATTGCTGCACGCCCAATCAGATTCCCAATCTGACGTTTACGAAAAGAATCAAGCTGAAAATATCAGCTCGTCAAATGAGGTTTATAAAGCAGAAATTGAAAACAATTATGTTGATAACGGGGGAACAGTTACAAACAAAAATGCACAAGCGAGCTAAGTGAAAAAGTGATCCCTTCTGACTGAAACACTGAAACTCGTATCCTGACCAAACATTATGGTGAACATTTTGAAGGCCAGGATTGTAAAAAATATTTTACTACGAGGGCTGAATCAAATTACAGGCAGCATATATTTGACATTTATTCTTTAATCTGGCATTTATAAGGATTTCTGATCAGAAATATCGTATCACGCGTATATTTCATCCGAGAAAGAAACGTTTTAAATGCAAATCTTACAAGAAAATGTTTATTTATAAAGCATGTCTAAACACCGCATTTGATCAAGGGCGATTCGGTCTCCCATTTGTGTTAATTTTAAAATCATTTACATAATTTCAATTTTCATGGTCTACGGACTGACTTTCCATCGTAGCTGCAAAAGTAAATCTTTTCACTCAATATTATATTTCAGTTAATGCAAATTTAAAATGGGTTCGGATAAAACAAGTCAAACCTTGTGAAACAAGTGCGATGATTTATCTCTTTATAAGCTCATCGATTAATCATTCTTTCCTAAAAGCTTTGATGACATGATTATAGAAAAATATTCAAGTTGTATACATAGATAAACGATATAAAAGATATATAATGACTGTAAGCTTAATGCGTTACCTTCCGGGATCAAGATTGATATAATTAAGTAAAATTTTCATGCCCAAAAAAGATCACTTTGATAACAGTCTTCTAAATAGATTGTGTCTACATGTTTGATGAAAATAATTTCAAAAGAAATTTGTTGACCTGTTGACTTTAAAAACACAATAATGGACAATTTTGCATTTTGGGAGTAAAAACAAAACAAGAACAAAGATCAAAGGCAACGTTCACAGGATGCAGCCACCCCGACACACCAAAGTAAGGCACACAGAAGGCACCAAACAAAAACCCGGAGTGGACACAAGGGCGGCGAGGAACATGTAATATGTGAATGTCAAGCCATTGATTTTATGACTTTCAGTTAGGTGTTTTGACTTTTTGACTTGTCACTTTCTTGCTGGTTACTGGGTAAAAATCTTTGCTGTATATTTTACACATTGGGTTAACAAGATTTGTTTTTAATTTCAAATGAACTGCGTAATTTTGCAATTCAATTTTCCCTTATAAAATTTTGTTAATATCATCATCCAGCAACATATATCTTTTATAAGATTTCTTTTTTATTGAACAGTTAAATTGAGTACTAATTTAAAAATCTATTTCAAACGTGGTCACAGCCTCATAGAGGTCTTTTCGTCTAATTTTATTTGTAATAACTACTTCATGGTTTTATATTATTTATTTTCTTTAAGGTTTTACGCGCGTTTCTCTGTGCTAAATACTGTATGAGTGGATATTTATACGTTGCACAAACTTTGCGAATGTCAAAATGCGTGCGGAAATATTTGCAAAAATATGATTTCTTGAATTTAATACTGTTTTTGTGGTATCATTAATCAAGCAGGTACATGTTAAGATCATGCCGTGATTGTAATCGTTCTATTCAGTTGTTTAATAACCTTATTATTGACACAATTGTTTAGAATATACATTAGGACCTGATCACACATTTCTTTGTCATATTTTGAAACATTATTTTGTTATATGAATAATCTATTGCGTTATTAACACATAAATTGTTTTATTAAATTATTTGTAATTTGTTAAGACCAAACTTAAACAAACAAGTAATGAGAAAAATTAACCTCAGTGCCTTAACAGTCAAATTAATTCATGTAAGATATGCTGTGTGTAAACGCGTTTTAAAATGATATAAGAAAGTTTGCCAAAAAAAGGAATAATTTTTGTGCGATAAAATATATGCGAATAATTTCAATTAAAAAATCGCAAATATTTCCACGTCGCAAAAGTAACCACTTATACAGTAGATGATGTTTTGCATTTTCTATATTTATCAAGGCTGAAAATAAAAAAAACATATTCGGTGAGTGTTGTTTGCTTTGATTTATTCTAGGAGAAATGTTTTAACCTTTTGAACGAACCCTAGCTGAATGTAGCTTCATATCGCAAACATAAAAACGCCAGTTTTAAGTTTGACTTATGATGTACATATAATGTACATTCGAAAACGGTATAGTTGCTATGCATGCAAACGTCTTACGTTTTATGTTTTATCTATAAATATGCTCTGATTTGCTCCTTCTATAGATATTAGAGCTAATTAAAGATTTGAAGGCTCTGATAAAGTTGTCAACTTATCAAATAATTATCGAGAAGCAGCGCATACAACATTTCTAAATACTTGATGATATACAGACAAATATGTAAAATAATGTCCAAAGCCCTTACCGAAGCAATAAATCCAGGAGATTTCCTCGTGGCATGGTCCTTTTTAGGACCGACGATTTGTTCTTTCTGCATATAAAGTGTATACATTTTCGGAAAACACAACATTGCTGGAGCCAACGGTTGTTTAAACACTATCTGATTCCTTTGCAGATTCGATTTTATACTTGTTTGAAGGGTCTTCCTTACACAATAAAAGGCCAAAAACCCGAACCCAAGCGTGGCATGGTCGTTTTTTTGATCGGCGATTTTTTTTGCTGTATATAAAGTTGGAAAATATACCATATTCTCGAGCGAACAGTTTAAACACAATTTGTCTGATTCCGTTGCAGATTCGATTTTGACTAGATTGGAAGATCTTCCCTAAGTAATATAAGGCTTAACCCAAGCAATTAATCCGAGAGATTTTCGATGGCATGGTCGTTTTTTGTACCGGCTATTTGTCCTTTTTGTATATAAAGTTTATGCATTTTCGGAAAATACACCATTTTCTCGGACAAAGCGTATAAAATGATTTGACTGATGCCATTACAGATTCGGATTTGCACAATTTAGAGGGCCTCGTTACTTAATATAACGCCCAAAGTGGTAACCCAAGCAAAAACTATGGGTGATTTACGCAGTGTATCGTCGTTTTTTGGACCATCGATTTCTTCTTTCTGTCAATAAAGTTTATACATTTTCGAAAAAAACCCACAACAACAACAAAATATCATTTTCTCAGGCCAACCGTTTGACCACCATTTGACTGATTCCATTGCAAAGCACTTAACCAAGCAACAGATCCAATAGGCCCGCGTAAAGTGGACGATTCTTAGACCGGCAATTAGTTTTTTCAATAAATTTTCGAAAAAAAAAAAACATTTTCTCGAGCCAACAGTTTAAACCATAGGTGTTCGGCGCGTTGATTGAACAATTATTACAAATAATAATATAATTTGATCATATTTATATGTGCAATACAAAAAAATATTCATTCATTTCGAATAAACTGCCGTTTAGTCGGGTAATTTTGACAAAAACCCAGCGGTCAGGTCTCTGTCGAGTTACACTTGCGGTGACTTCGAGATTACATATCTTCTTATTACTTGAAATGATTGTATTGACAGCTTTAAATCCTTTAAGAGTAATCAATTCCCTACCATTTGATACCAAGATATTTAAAATTGGTGAAAAAATGTTATGTGAAAATGGAGTTATGGAGTTCATATTAAGATGAGTGCTGAAAAATGAGCGGCGAGTTGCACACCTTTACTAAATATATATTATATCATTTTTTTTATTTTTTGTGGGAGATGAAGGTAATTGAATTAAAAGCATGTACCAAATATTAAAACATGTTTAAAATGAAAAATACTACAGTTTACAATGGTTTTGAGAGGTAGAGGGGTTGTAGAGTTTGTGAGGGGGGGGGGGGGGGTGGCCCGGTCGGGGGTAGTGACCAATCAACGCGCCGAACACCTATGGTTTAAACACCACTTGTCTGATTCCTTTGCAGATTCGATTTTGTACATGTTTTGAGGGTCTTACTTACATATTAGAAAGAAAGCCCAAAGTCCTAACCTAATCAATATGTCCATGAGATTTCTGCGTGGCATGGTCGTTTTTCTAGACCGGCTATTTGTTCTTTCTGTATATTAATTAACGTAAAAAGCTACATTTTCTCGAGCCAACCGTTTTAACACAATTCGTCTGATTCTTTTGCAGATTCGATTTTGTACAAGTTAGAGGGTCTTTTTTACCGATTATAAAGCCCAAAAGTCAAATCCAATTAATATGTCCATGAGATTTCCGCGTGGCATGGTCGTTTTCTGGACCTGCAATTTGTTCTTTCTGTGTATAAAATGTATACATTTTAAAAAAAGAACCCCACCATTTTCTCGAGCTAACTGTTTAAACACTTGTCTGATTCCTTTGCAGATTCGTTTTTGTACATGTTTTGAGGGTCTTACGTACATTTTAGTAAGCCCAAAGCCCTAACTTAATCAATATGTCCGTAAGATTTCCGAGCGGCATGGTCGTTTTCTTGGCAGGCTATTTGTTCTTTCTGTATATCAGTTATCATAAAAAGCTACATTTTCTCGAGCCAACCGTTTTCACATAATTCGTCTGATTCTTTTGCAGATTCAATTTTTTTAAACCGATTATAAAGCTCGAAGCTCAAATCCAATCAATATGTCCGTTTAATTTACTTGTGGCGTGGTTGTTTTCTGAACAGACAATATGTTCTTTCTGTATATAAAGTGTATAAATTTTCCGAGAAAAAAACACCATTTTCTTACACATAATAATTTCCAAAGCCAAAGCCCGATCAATATGTCTGCTATATTTCTGCGTGGCAAGGTGGTCGTTTTCAGAGCCGGCGATATGTTCTTTCTGTATATTATTTATCGTAAAAAGCACTATTTTCCTGAACCAACCGTTTTTACACCATTTGTCTGATTCCTTTGCAGATTCGATTGTGTACAAGTTTTGAGGATGTTTCTTACACATCATAAAGCCCAAAGCCCTAACCTAATGAATATGCCCGTGAGATTTCCGAATGGCATGGTCGTTTTCTGGGCCGGCGAATTGTTTTTTCTGTGTATACATTATCATAAAAAGCTTTACTCGAGCCAACCGTTTTAATACCATATGTCAGATTCCTTTGCAGGTTCGATTTTGTACAAGTTTGGAAGGTGTTTCTTACACGTTATACCCCCAAAGCCCTAACCCAATCAATATGTCCGTGAGATTTCCGCGTGACATGGTCATTTTGTTCTTTATGCATATAAATTTCGT